TCCAGGCACTGCATACCTGTGGTGCACAGAGTCATGTGAGCAAAACATCTACACACAAAAGAAAATGAAAAGAAAATCCCATTGAAACTGTAACTTTCTAATTCACTGGCCCACAACTATGTGCACAATCATAGAAGAGCAGATTTATGCATCCGTATAATATATAAACTTGAGTCCGTACTGTGGTGGGAATAAAACTGCCAACTGCAGCAAAGAAGAGGGGCTACCTAAACAAATTATCGAAAGGCCAAAGGCCAATTGATAAGGTGTTCGACCTTGGGAAATAATGTTGGCACCGAGTGAAATGACCTGAGGGAGCAGATAAAGTTCCAAATATTTTAAATGAAGGGGTGATTCTGGTTGGGGAAATGGTTTTAGTTCTGGAAACACTTTGTGCTAAGATTCAAGGAATAACTAGAAAGAATACCTGACCAAGAAAAAGACTTGAGGTTTTAAAGTCCAAAATGGAGCCAGAGAAGAGGGAAACCAATACATTGCAACTTCAATCTTTTTAAGATATAGTTGGAAGAGTAAGAAGAAAGACAGGCCAGGACCCAAGAGAACAAGACTAACTGATACTTCCCAATGTTCAATCCACCTCAGGGCTTAGTTTCTCTAACATTAATACCAGGTATGCCAAATTCTCTGCTCCATAGGCCTGAATGAAGGACCTCTCTACAATGCCGGAGTCATGTTGGTAACCCCAGGCAACATATGTCATCACTATCTGAGACCATATACACACACACACACACACACACACACACACACACACACACACACACACACACACACACACACACTTCAAGACAGCTTTGTACTGTATCCACTCATCACCCCTCAACTTAGTCTAGAGCACGGAAGAGCATGGTCCTTCATACTACATCTTCACTTTTTCTCCAAATTTTTCTTTACTCTTTTCTGAGGACCTTAAGAGTATATTAAATGAAGTTAAAAAGGGGGCTGGGACAACCTCAAAATAGTGCATGTATCTAGCCACAGTTGTTTTTATAGCACTAAAATATTTCACTTCCAAGCATCTGAAAATTTAGCAAACTAAAAATTTTTTAAGTATAAAATTCATGTTGTTCTGTTAAAGAATAAGGCAGCAAGACTTTGGCATTACTAACCATAGGCACAAGAAGAAAGGGTGGATTTTTGTTCTTTGTGGTGGTGGGGACAGAACCTATGATGGCCTCATTCCTCATACATTCTAAGTAAGCTCTACTAGTGAGCTACATTTCCCAGTCTAAAAAGTAACTTTAAGGTTAACCAAGTTGGATAAAATCACCAAACTCTCCAACTCTTTATCAACAACATACGGATCTTAAAACAAATTAATCATGTTTTCACCAACAAAGAAGAAAAAAACACACAATAAAGAAAACATAAGAAAGTAGAGGAGTAATGTCAAAGCTCTAACAACATGCATCATTTTCCTGGCTTCAGACTTGGTTATCTTCTCTTACAAAACAAAAACAAGACAGCACCAGAATTCTTCCTGTGTTCTGGGCAGCCCGCAGAGAATAATATTTCCTTGTGTTGGATAGTCTAGGTCTACATTCTAAAGAAAATAATCCCATCTGCATCTGGAGCCTCCCTTTGGAGCAACTGCCAAATCCTGAGGAATTCAGTCCTCACTCAACAAACCCCAACTGCCCTTCAAACTACACCCTCAGTCACACCTTGCAAAGGTCAGTCCCTATGTGATTAGCAGCCCCAAATGAAAATATGTTAATACTGAATGACTCATTAAGCACTAATAGCTAAGAACACTAAGCATTTCATACATGTGAGCTCTGCTCTAAGAAGCTCCTGTACACAAACTGCCACAGAAACTCTTGGAGGTGTTACTCTTCCACACATATCACAGAAGCAAAAACGGGGCAATTAAACTGCAAGGTGTTAAACAGCCACTCTAGGGACACACAGAGAGACGGGGCAGAGCCAGGACTTGGGCTGGGCATCTTAACCATTATCTGATTCGCCACCTATGAGACAAAACAACTAATGCAACCGTTTTATTCAGAAAAAATGCACGTGTACAATTTCCAAGTGGCCCAGGCTTGCACTGACTTCCTGCTCCTATAGATTCACTGTTCATGTTGATGTTTTTAGTCGTTACATCTGAAATTCAAGAAGGGACAAATTGGTTCATCTTAGCCAACTGGAATAAGCAACAAGGCCTCAGTGGGAATATAGTCCTCACAGCCAAGTACCATGTTCATGTCTTCATCAAGGTGAAGGTCACATTTCTAAGGTAGGTGGTATCAGCAACAACAGAATTTAAGCTCTCAGAAGTTTAAAAGGAGTAATTTTGAAGAAATAAACTTAGCTTTGGTATTCATTCACTCAACAACCACTTTTGGAACACTGACTATGTATCCGATACTGTGCTGGCTTCTGGACATTTGGCAAGGAGTCAACTCAAATCCTTACCCTCTGGCAGCATTCACTCTCGAGGTAAGCTAGAAGAGACTGGACAAGCAAATAAACAAGTAAGAACTAGGACAGGGTGACCAAATAACCAAGGAGGCCTCTTTAAATACGGGGCACTGGAGGACATACTAAATCAAGTGCTCAGAGTCAGGGAGGTGGATGTGCAGGTCCTAATGGTGTGTGTCATTATGTCTTCACTTCAGATTCCCAGGAACTGCCATGTTTAAGAATATCTCATGATTCTGCAATACGGACTTCTCAACCTTGTGCCCCAGGGCCTGCTCTAGTTCAGACCTGCCCATCTCTCCTCTCTCACCTCCACTCCCAAACACACCCTCTCCATTCCACTGAAGCTAATCTTCTCATTGGCCCACACATACCATGTTGTCCTCCCACCCTTTCTTCCCCCCTACACCTACTAATTCTGCTTATTCTTCAAAGCCAGGAAGTTCCATCTTCCTCATTCTTCTATGCTGAGTCCCCAGCTCTCTCCTCTCAGCCGATGATTAATTACCTAAAACTGCTCTTCTATCCCTCACTGCTGTTTTACATGTGCCATATTCCAGCACTTTGACTCACATAAGGCACCACAATCTCCTCCCAGCATGTGTGGGCAGGAGAGAAAGGGAGTTGGTACTTGAAAGTTCTCACAGCCAGAGGCAGAGAGAAATGACCCAGGCTCATCCCCACATCTCAAAGGGGCCGACAAGTATCCAAGAGGCACAAGTTCCAAACAGGAGGACACAGAGTCTCTAATCAAGTGACAGGAGTCTGACAGCTGAGAATACAGGTGATGGGGGAGTTTATAGGGCTAATGAGGATTCGGGTGACACATTTAATTGAGTAGTACAGAAACAAAGTAAAAACTCAGTCTTCTGGACCGGTCCTGCACGGGGTAGAGGTAGTCAAGACTTATTAACTTGGAAAACTGAGATGATTGGCTAGTTAACAAACGGCATCAAGCAGAAGGACTCAGGAAAAGTTCAGAAACCAAGAATGCGAACCAAGATTAAGAGCCTGACCTAATTCTTAACTGGAGAAAGATCATTAGTGGGCCTGCTGTGGGGAAAATGGGTAAAGTCGATGAAAGAGAGAAAATGAGAGCCAAAACTGTTCATGCACAAATTAATCCTTTAAAGGAAAAGGCCATACCTTGTGCCTCATTTCTACCATGCATAGCTGTTAGCAAAATAAATATACATATACATTAAAAAGAAAGATCAGACATATTTGGGCATTACCCAATAGGGAGAAATATGCCCAGAAACGTAAGTCATCACTTAGCAAGCTAAGGAAGGCACAGGTTTACTAGAAGACTCTGTCAATTGACAAAGAGAGAGGCTATGTGATCTGGTGAATGAACACAGGACTAGAAATGAAGAAGTAGACTTAGGCTGCCAGCCTTGTCAACAACCTCCAATGAGATCCTTAGCAATCCTTCATCCCCCACCCCCACCCCGGCTCAATTACTTTATCTGTAAAGATAAAATGCAACTGCTCTATTTTTTTTTTTTTAAGTTTCTGGAACACTCTTTTCTCAGATCTCTATTTGGTTTTCTCATTCCATGTTTCCAGCTTTTGTTTTAAATCTTGCCTTCCTAATGGGGCTATATTAACTACTTAATACTGTAACCCACCCATTCCACTCACACTCTAGTCTAAGATCTTTGTTCTATTTGATTTCACTTCATAGGATATGGAACAGAGAAAGCATCCAATAAATATTTGTTAAATAAATCTAATATGGGGAAGGGGATCGTGTGAAAGAAAAACTAGAATAATGAACCATTTAAATTCTCCCTGAGGTCAGTTCCCCATCCATAGTCTTAACTATCCCAATATTTCCCTAAGCCCTATGCAGTAGTATGAGGTCTATTCAATAAACCCTCATTAAATTACTAATTAAGTTAGTGGGCAGCAAAGGGCAAACATCCATAGTATTCTGGGGCCACCTGCTGTCAACCGGATTTAGTATCTACTTAAGCAATTGTAGTGACAAGAATTGCCACAGGTGAGTAAAAGTTGCAGGGAATACTTACCTTCCCCAACAGGGACAACCAAGCTTTTCCAGTAAAAACAGGAAGTGTGCTAATTCTGGAAATCAGATATCTCCAAAGGTCCCGGAAAAAGATAGCTAAATCCCCCGGTAAAGGACTACACACCCAGTAATAACAGTAAGTGCCTTGCACTGGGGTCTTATGTATTAGATACTAACTTAAGCACTTTTATATAATCTTTTCTTTAATCCTTACACCCAGTCCATTGATGTATTGTCAACAGTTAATGGAGAAGCATTCCTTTGAAGAGTCACAATAAACCGACAATTTAAACTAAAACATTAATAAGAAAATTAAAGACATGGTGTGCACGGATCGTTTGGGAGGTACTGCGGCACACGTACTGGCCAGTAATATGAGGCCCAATCCTATTTCATACTGCTCCTGACCTGCTAGGTCTGGCTTTACACCAAACACAGCCAGGCTGCTGGGCTCGGGATTCCAAAGTCCACTTGTTTTAGTTTGTGTTGTGAGACAGGGTCTCACCTTGTAGCTCTGACTGACCTGGAATTCGCTGTGTAGACCAGGCTGGTTTGAATTGCAATACTGTGCTCGCCTCTTCCTCCGAAATGCTGGTATTGCGGCCAGCTTTCCCGACCTTCACGAGGGAATTTTGTACCTGGTTCTGGGTAGTTCAAGCTGAAAGGTGCTGTTAGCACAAGCACGATTCCGGAAATGCAGCCCCTCCGCCGGAAGTGCGGAAGTGGCTTTTCTATTTCCCTCAGTCACAGGGCTGAGGGCCCTAAGGCTGTTGCGTTTTCCAAGTGTGCTGCTCAGAGTGACCAGCAGGCTGACAGAACTGTAGCAGCCACCCCTCTGAGAAGGCCTGTGTGTCCAGGAGGATCCGTATTACAGAGGAGTGTCCAGGTAAACCTCCTGATCCCTGACAAAGAGCACCCCCCCCCCCCCCCCGATTGGATAAGGCTAAGAACGCTCTCTGTCCAGCTCTGGTTGCAGCTGCAAGACTTCCTCAACTTCCATCCATTCCATTCCTTTCATCCTTCCGCAACTTCCTCCCAAGGAAGGAGACAGTTGCGCCCCCTGGTGACCAGATGGAACCGTGGGCACCTTGGTCTTCCAGGCAGCCTTGATAAGGCTACTCAAATGGAGTAGGAAAAGGGTTATAGTTGCTGCGTATCTGTTTAAGTGTTATTCTTGTGCATTTTGCTTTTAAACAACAACAAAAAATGCATCCAGTACCATGAGCCCGTAATCGCTGATATTATTGAATACAAAGCTGATTTTTAAGCAGTTAACAGTAGTTCAAAGAAAATGTTAAATACATAATGCACAAATTACAGCAAAAATTACGATAGCAAACGGGCCTGGTGTTTCATGCCTGCAGTACCAGGACATGGGAGGTAGGACTGTGAGTCTTTTAAAAAAAAAATGAAGGTAGTAAGATGGTACTCAAAATCACAAAAAAAGGAAGTTTCAAAAGGTCAAAGGGAACGTTCATGTACTCTTTGATTTTATGTGTGGACTTGACAGGTGTTTTAAATGAAATTAACATTTAAATAATTGAAATAGCATAATGCAGATTGCCCCCACATAATGTGAATGAGCTCATCCCCATCCATTGAAGGCCTGAACAGAACAACCAACCAGCATCCTTGAGCAAGAGGAAATGCTCCTGCAGACACCCTTCTGACTTCAATTGCATCTCTGTTGCTCCTGAGTCTCCACACTGCTGCAGATTTTGGGGCTTGCCCAAATTGCGTAAGTCAATTTCTTTATAATAAATCTCTTCTTTATAGATATACATTCTATTGGTTCTGTTTTTCTGGAAAATCCTAGTATAGTAAGATACTTCAAAAACCCCTGATTCTTTCTCTTTTTTTGCACTTTCAAGCATCCAATATATTTTATGCATATTTTATATATTTATGAAAGTGTAAAATTAAGTAAAACTCCACAGCTAATGTTCCGAATGCCTATTCTAACTGCATAGAAGTTCATGGAGTTCTCTCAACTTTGGGTCTGGTCAATTTTAGTGTGTGATGTTTTTATTTATTTGCAAGTTTTTTATAATAAACTTTATAAAATGAAAAACAATTCCTTCTTCTGACATTGAATCAGGCTGTGAGGATGGGAGAGCTTGAGTCTAAAACTCAGTGATCTGAAACGTTAAGGTGTCCTGTTTCTTCTTCCCGGTGAACAATTTCCCTAGCTTCAGCGTTTCCTCCTTGCCCTCATACCGGATCCCTTGGCTGACAAGTTCCTAAGTACAACTCCTCACTCCTCTTGGACGAGAGCAATATAGTGGAATAGAGCTGGAGCTGTGAGCGTGAATCAGGAGAGCTGGTGTGCTGACTTGGGCCTTGGAGAGCCTGTCACAACATCTTCGTCCTCTCTTGAGTTCCATAGCATCTGTATGAAAAGATGCTTCACTGGATGATGTCTACGGTCTTCACCAGAGGTAAGCATCTTTGCCCTGCCACGGGGCTCTCTCCCCTTTTGGGCCCCTAAAGATTCAACTTATTTGGTGTACTTTGTAAGATTCATGGGCTCAGCTCTGCCCTGCTTTAATTTGGGGACTGGAGAGACCCTCCATGTCACAACTGGAGCCTAATCCATGATTCCCTGGACCTAACCCCAGGGTAGCATACCATGATTGTGTGGGTAAGACTGCTTGATTCTGTGCCTAAAATAGGAAGGCTGTAGCTAAAAGACCCAAAGCCACTATCTGTTATTTAACTGCTGCTATTATAAAGCATGGCATTTGGGGTACACCGTTTTCTTTCTACTCGACTTTTCCAACCTGTTCAGAATAAGGTAGGAAAATGAGGCAGTACTATTTGCTAGAATCCTTTGCAGAACCCCATAATTCCTTCTAGCGCCTTCTAGCACCTATATTAAATAAGACAAAGAAAACATTTAATGAGCAAGTTCCCACTAATGAACTAATTTGGTCCATTACAGGATGCATGCATCTTCAAAACACTGTAAGAGTTCTGGGAAAGAACAATGCCGCGTGGTTAGCGCTATAAATGAAGCTCCTTCAGTGGAAAGTATTTTTTCAGGACCCTCTAATAACATATATATATCTGTCAATCAGTCAACAGTTGATATTTAAAATCAAGTTAGAAGTAGGACTTGGGGCATTTAATTGCCTAGGTTCAAGTCTATGTCTCTTATTGACTGTGACCTTGAGAAAAGTTATTTAACTTCACTGTGCCGCTGGTTTTCATCTACAGAGAGATACTTGAAAATACTTGATTAATGTCATAACCTGTTGTGTGTCCGGCACAGCTTTAATCCTACAACCTTAGAGATTTTTACTTCTAGAATTTAAAAAAGGAAAATATTTGATTGAGTACCAAGAGCATGGGAATAGTAAAAGTAAATCAAATATGGAGTTTGTACTGGGGAAAGAAATCATATCTGATAGCAATAGACTATCCCAAACCCAGGGAGCTCTGAAGAATACATGGTAACAAACCATACATAACTCTGTGTATTGAGACATAGACTGTAATCCCAAAAACGGCCAGCAGGTGTCAACATTCACTAACCTTCTGGCTCCAGTAGCAAACGCTAATTAGTGACAGACTGCAACAGACCAGGGCTTCTGATGCAACACCAGGTACCTATACAATACAATACTTACTGTTAACGCTTAACTAAAGAGCGAGAACAGCAGCTGCAGTCAGTCCAGAAAGGAAGCTGACACACAATTCCTTTCAGAAATGAAGTCTCTTCATTGGGTGAGAAGGTACAATATACTTGAGATGGAACAATGGTTGGAGAGACAGCTTAAATGGGCTTTCACTTAAAACATGAAAGAGAACTCCTTTAAGAGCGAGATAAAGGGGCCAGACAGATTCCTCAGTAGTTAAGAGCACTTGTTGCTCTTACAGAAGACTAAGGTTAGGTTCCCAGTGTCTCACAACCATCTGTAACTTTAGTTCCAGGGAATCGGATTCCCTCTTCTTTTTTTTTTTTTTTTGGTTTTTCGAGACAGGGTTTCTCTGTGTAGCTTTGCGCCTTTCCTGGAACTCACTTGGTAGCCCAGGCTGGCCTCGAACTCACAGAGATCCACCTGCCTCTGCCTCCCAAGTGCTGGGATTAAAGGCGTGCGCCACCACCGCCCGGCGGATTCCCTCTTCTAACCTCCAAGGACACCCTGCACTCATGAGGTGCACATACAGAGTCATGCAGATGAAACACTCATACACATGCATTAAAATAAAGAAATTTAGGCCGAGTTGGGGTAGCACATGCCTTTAATCCCCGCACTAGGGAGGCAGAGGCAGATGGATCTCTGTGTGAGTTCCAGGACAGCCAGAGCTACACAGAGAAACCCTGTCTCAAAAAAAATCAAGAAAAAAAAAATTTAAGGGAAAAGGTAAAACTAAGGGAAGGACTGAGGGAGGGGAGAGAACCAAACGGAGATAGAATATCACCATGAGAGGAATTTGTGGAGGGAGTCCAGAGTTTCAGTGAGGAGTCTTCTGAGGAATTTCTCTGAGGGTTTTCTAGACTAATCCCCAGAACAAACAAGAAATCTAACTTTTCTAAGTTTTGGAGAGCTGGCAGGAAGTTTTGTGTTGTGTGATTTATTCAACAGAGCATGTGTGACAAAGCACGAAAGAGCCAGGTGTCATAAATCATAGCTGTCAAGTGCCAAGTCATAGCACAGCTGCATCTTTTCATTCATTCACTCACTCATTCATTCATTTATTTATTTATTTATTTATTTATTTATTTATTGAGACAGGGTTTCTCTGTGTAACAGCCCTAGCTGTCCTGGAGTGCTTTGTAGACCGGGCCGGCCTCAAACTCACAGAGATCCACCTGCCCCTGCCTCCTGAGTGCTGGAATTAAAGGCATGTGTCACCAGAGCCCTGCTCACAGGTGCTTCTTAAATCTGTTCCAGAGAGAGCTATAGGGAGGCATGGGGAGGCATGGCCTGGCTCAGGCTGTAGGATCTGGTTTAAAGTTTCAGGCCTGTGTTTTGATAAGTCATAAACTTGTTTTTAAACAATTTTTGGTATACATATAACTTTATCACTTATGTAAGATTAAAGTAAATTTGCATGCTAAGAAGATAGATGTGCTTGTCTATTTCTGCATAAAGAGCTAGTCTTGTTAATATCTGATATTTCAGTGCAGAGCATCTTCACTAATTTTCAGACTCGATTGATATGTAAGATGAATTGCTAAATGGTCTCGTCAACTCCTCAGCCAGTCCTGTTTCCTCAGACTGAAAGCCTCTGAGTCCTCACCTGAATGGACCACAGCTGAACTGCTGCTAAAAGCCTTCTAGGAAATCCTCAGTCCAAGAGCCTCTGAGTCCTCACCCGAAAGGGCCTTAGGTTGAACTGCTTAAAAGCCTCTAGTTCTGGTCCTCCTGACTGATATACCTTTCTGCTTCCTGCCATCGCTTCCTGGGATTAAAGGCGTGTGTTTTTTCCCAAGCAAAGACATGAGATCCAAGTGCTGGGATTAAAGGTGTGTGCCACCACGCCTGGCTCTATTTCCAGTGTGGCCTTGAACTCACAGAGATCCAGATGGATCTCTGCCTCCTGAGTGATAGGATTAAAGGTGTGTGCCACCACTGTCTGGCTTCTGTGTCTAATCTAGTGGCTGTTCTGTTCTCTGATCACCAGGAAAGCTTTATTAAGGTGCACAATAATTCACCCACATTGATATTTTGATTTCATGAACCAGCACTGAGAATGCCACTCCACATAACTATGTAGAACAAATGTCTGAAGGATATTTGAGGCTGTTTCAGAAAGTGTTGGAAATCCTGACCTCCCCCAAGCCCAAAGTCACTGAAGGGTCTTCTAGAAAACTCCAAGCCAGCAACTCAAACAAATGACAATGGCTTTACAAAGGAAAAACATAGCTTTTTCCAATAGACTGTTAATGGTTTATAAACCATGCTTATGGGTAAGCCCCATGTCCAGCAGTAGTTGGAGGAACTTAGAAAAGATGAAAGACAAGAAAACATGATCACAACATATTGTATGAAAAAAAAAATACTTTCAATTAAAAAGTAAAATAAATAAAAATAATCTTAGTCCAAGTAGGAGCCTGAAATTCCTATAATATTACCCATGCTTCTAACTCTTCAAAGTATAACAGAGAGGCCATAGTAACCAAAGACTAATCCCAGCCCACCAGCATGTTCTTTCTGGTTCTACAGCAATTTATGGGTTTGTCTTCTTTAATTGATGTGAAATACAGCTATCACTTTAAAGAGACTAAGAAGTCTCTTTTTTATCTTGAGCCAAATATGAGTAAACAATTCCATGAGGCCCAGAAACTTTGAATTAAGTAAGCTATAGAAGAAAAAAAAAATGCTTTACCATGGAAGTGGTTACATGAAATTTAATTGCAGAACAAAAAAAGTCATAAATTAAAGTACTTGCCATATAATTTAGTAGGAACGCCCTACTAGGAATTGTTATTTATTTGCAGCACTATTTACCAGACGAGAGAGAACACAGGGTACAACGAAACCCACTACAAGAGTTTTACTAGGGGAGGAAAGCGGGGAATGTGCAGTAGGCCTACCAGAAATGAATGGTGCTGGAGAGAGAGCAGGAACCGGTGGAATCTGCTTTTTTAGCACCCCCACCCCAAGCATTTGCATATGGTTTTATGTAGCTACACCACACATGCGCATAGATTACATGATCACACTTCACAGGGATTACATGGCATAGGACGCAAGGCCCTGGGGTGACTAGACATTTTGCCTTACTGCCAGACAGTGCTACAAATTATAACAGGAATAATTCTTCATTTTTCCCTACTGTTAAGGCAGTAGTTTTCCAACAAGGGGAAGGCTTTAACCCAGTGGAAAGACATACGCATTGAGCACTAAAACCTGTTTCTATTTGTTAGAGACACAGATTATTAGCATTTGGAGAGTACCTGCCAAAATCTGTTTTACAGAGAAAGACTGGTTACTTACAGGAAAGGAGATGGTTCATTAAAGTAGAGAAACCTATCTGCATGGCACTGTGCTAGACCTGGCCAGGCTCCAACAGATTAAGTGGAAGGGGATTACACTGTGGTCTTTATGGGTCATTTACATGCTAAGCATTTTTCTTCATAGGCTGTTTTTCTCCAGACTTCCAGACTTTAGCTGTCGCCTTTCACATGTTAATCTGGAATCTCCTCCTCTATCCTGCCCCCATTCTCCTCACTCAAGCCCTAGTGTTAGAGGTCAGGGTGGTAGCCAACTCTTTAATCCCAGCACTACACTCAAGAGGCATAGGAAGGTGAAGCTCTGTGAGTTCCAGGACAGCCAAGCTACACACAGAACTCCCTCCGCACCCCCAAAATCTAATTGTTAGTCTTTAAATGTCACATTTTATAAGGTAATAAAACAAAATTCCTGTTCTCTAACCAGTTTTTGTAAATGCAAAGCCTTTTTTTTAAATAGAAAGAATTTAGTTTTAT